GGCATCGAGTTCTTGGGGATGGCAGGTGCGTTGCGTTTAGGCCACTTGGCACCGCCCCCCATGAAAAGGGGAATCGCCGTCACCTCGCTCGTCCCGTCTTACCGCTATCGCACCGCTATGACGGCTCATCGAAGGATGTTTCTTCTCTTTCCATTACGCCCCCAGGCCCCCCCCCCTCGTCCGCGCACGTACTTCGTGTCATGATGCGCCTGCCCTCTTCTTCGAAGCCCTCCCCTTCGGCGCACTCCAGAAGCTTGTCCTGGGGGGGGCGGGTCCTATGGAAGACCTGGGCTCTCCCCAGGACCACCCGTTCGTCCTGCGTCCTGTCGTCGACGGCCCCAGGGCCCAGCGCATGGCGCCCGGGGGCCCCGAGGCCCAGCGCATGGTTCCCGGGTGCCGACACGGCGAGGCAAGCGCAAGACCCTGTCCTTCCAGGCCTCGATTCCAGACGTCCGACGGTAGGTGTTTTCAGCCAGGACCAGGTCCCGACCCCTTCCCTGGGGGGCGGGGGGAGTTTTTCGTTTTGGACTCTGTTGCGACGGTCCGGGAACCCGAAATCCTCTTCTAGATATCAGAGTATTGGGAAAGATCGCTAGGACCCCATGGGATCGGACGTGGCGCCAAAAATGCAACATCGTTGACAAAAATCAACCAGAACCCTCGACCCCAACGTCCGACAACATTTCTCCAGCCGGATCAACCCGTGAAGGCCCCAGGAGCCCGAAGGTTACCGAAAAAACTTGGTGCGACAAGAAGGGAGACGCCCCGGTCCCGGGGCTGAGCGAACAGAAGACAGCGGGTACCGTCGGGCATTGGGGGCTTCCTCCGTGCCAAGAGGAGCAGCTGAGGGCGGGCGTCGTGGACGTCGTGGCGGAGCCCTTCCGCGTGTTGGAGGAGGTCCACGTGGACGCGGCCGTCGGCGGCACGGCGGGGCCAGCCGGCCGCGCGAGAGAGACGTTCGGGCCGCTGACCGAGCTGGGCGGCGGGGTGGCCTGGAGGGGCGGGCGCGATGCGCCGCGGCTCCCGGCGTTGTAATGTTGTCACCCCCTTCGAAGAAATGCAACATCGCGAAACGTCCCCAGAGATCCGACGCTCCAGCAACCAGCGGGGCGGGCGGCTTTTGGCCGTGTTCGGCCTCCGGGGGCCCTCGCCGGGCCTCGGGAACGTTAATAGGCGATCCAGGGCGAAAAACTGGCCATGGGGAAGTGGTCCAAGACCTCCGGGGCCCACGCACCGAACGGCCACGGCCATCGCTCACGGCTTGAGAGTGGTTGTAGATTTAGGGGCCGCCTGGATGTGACGGACATGTTCCGTCGTGGTGTTCTTCCTTTCTTTTCGCCGGGGCACGCACCGAACAACTTGGAGCAGCCGGATTCTTGGGTCACGACCGCAGTAGCCCCAGACCCCAGCGTGCTGCGCCATGTCTCGAGCCAGAGCGATCTGTGCCAGCCTCGGGGCCCGAAGCCCAGCGAAGGCGCCCATGGTTCTGTCGGGCATGTCCCATTACTCAGAGGCCATTAACATATGTACACGTACGCGGTTAGCTTCCCCTGGAGTGCGTGTCAACGCGGACGTTCGTGCAGGCAAGACCGCGGAGGGCGTACATGTACATATGTCGTTGCTCGCCCAATTACAGGGGGAATATTCGTACACAGCAAAAAATGGTCCGGGGACGATTTCTCGATTTGTTTTGGCTATCTTGAGCATTTTTGTCGATGCTTCATTTTCTTGCAAGCTCCGCCTGTAGGAGGACATGCCCGACCCAAACCGGGACCCAGGGTGGAAAGCTTGCAACGCCCGGATCTGAGGAACGACGTGGCTCCCAGGTCGTTTTTGTTGCGGTCCTGGGGCCTGGTGAAGGCCCCCGCAGGCTGAACAATTAGAAGACAAGACGCGCCACGCGAAGACGACCGGGTATACACAATGTCGTTTGGTCGACCCCACGGGGCCCAGGAATTTCGTCAAGGGGATCAGCGTATAGACTCTCCAGTCCAGCACCCTCACGGTTTGGCCAGCCGTGGCGTTGGTACACCAGGCTGCTAGGGCGACCAGGCAGCGTGCTGTATACCTCGGCCTCTGCCCCCTCTCAGGTGGCCGTGCCTCCCGAGGGCTTCTTGGCGCTGGAAGTCGACAGACGGAAGAAGAGAACACGGCAGGAGCTTAGGCTTTCGGAGGTCCTCGCGGGCTCCTTGGCTTGGGTCTGCGCTGGGCCCCGCCCCTGGCGGCGTCTCCAGAGACGAAGGACTTTCGGAGGTCCTCGCTTGGGGCCCCCCCCTGGCGGCGCCGGCACGCCAGGCAGGGGGGTCCAGCGCCGATGCAAAAAATCTGCGCGGGCCCAAAGCAAAACGTAAACAATGGAAACAAACGAATCAGCGCGGGCTTCCGAAAGTTTATGCTCTTACGCGTATTGATCTTCTCCCAACAGAGCCCGCGTGAATCTCGTGGACGACGCCGCCTCGCTGGCGCTGGCCGTGCAGGAGCTGTCGGCCCAGTCCGAGGGCCCCGAGTCGGACGCCCGGGCTTCAGACTCGGCCCTGACGCCAGTGCTGCCGGTTGTTGGTCTCGACGCGGAGTGGCGGCCAGATTCCGGGGGCCAGGAGTGGGCGCAGAATTCACCACCCACCAAACCACCCCAACCCAACCCGAAGGCCTCAATTTGCCCTCCATTTCCAGTTGGGGGGGGTCGGGGAACATCGAAAAAACACGTATGGAACCCATACCCCCCCCAACCCGAAATCCGGGTCTTCGGGTTGGGTTGGGGTGGTCTGGTAGGCAGTCAAGAATGGCGGCCGGCCGATCGCCACGACGCAGGAAAGGCGGTCGCCAGTATCGCTGCTGCAGGTTGCCGTCCGCCGGAGCGTCTGGTTGTTCGACATGGGTGCAATCTGCGGCGACGGAGACCTATCCGCGGCCGCCGCTTCTTTGCTCCGCGATGTGCTCGAGTCGCCCGTCCTGCTCAAAGTTGGATACGGCCTGGACAACGACCTCGGCCGCCTGGCTTACACGTTGCCGGAGGCGCTGCCTGACCGTGCGCGTGGTGTGCTGGATCTTCGGGTTCTGGCGCCCCGTGCTCTGGCGGGCCCAGTCTCGGGCGGCCTGTCCGGGCTCAGCCGTGCAGTGCTCGGGAAGGGCCTGGACAAGACGGAGCAGGTGTCCGACTGGGCCCGCAGGCCCTTGCGGGAGGAGCTCGAAGAATGTCACAACGGCACAAGCGTAAGCAGACACTTCCAGAGGTCCGCCCGCCGTCCGCGCGGATTTCTAGGATCGGCGCTCACTCAGCCCCTCGGCGGCACCACCAGCGCCGCCCCTGGCACGCTGCGCGCGCGGGGGGAGGGGGGTTCAGCGCCGATCCAAGAGGTCTGCGCGGAGCTGCGAAAGTTTATGTTCATGCAGCTGTTTAGCCTTCTAGGAGCAGCTGGTGTACGCGGCGCAGGACGCGCACGTGTGCGTCCGCCTGTTCGACGCGATCTGCTACCGCCACGCAACGCTCGCGGCGGGGCCGCTGGAGCCCCTAGTGCGCGGCCTCGCGTCGGAATGGCAGCGCGAGGAAATGCGGAGGCGCAGGAGGAGGTGTCGAAGGAGTGGCTGCCGATCACGATGATGACTGTGATGACGATGATGATGACGATGCTGTCTACGATACTGATGATGAGGCTGATGATGCTCACGATGACGACGACAGTGACTGATGTTGATGATGATCATGGTGGTGGTTATGATGATTATAACCTCTAAGGGCCATTAGTTTTGATGTCTCCCCTTGTCGTTCGTCGGTGAAAGGGACAAGTCCTAACACCTCTTCCTTCTCTTCCCCCTTCCCCCCCTCCTCCTTCTCCTCGTCCTGATCCTCCTTAGGCGTGACACGAGGAGGCATTCGTAGTGTTACTATTTCCATCACTATTGCAGTTTTGTTTTCTATTTTCAACCACTATCCCGATCACTATTATCATTCTGATTCATACTACTAGTACTATTACTAGTATTGCTATTCGTATTTTTGTTATCATTACTATGACGATCACTATTCCATTTATTTTTACTATTACCATTACTCTTTCAATTACTAGTGTTCGTATTATTGTCACTGTTCGTGTTACTAGTATTGAGTGCAGTACTATTCCTGCTAATGTTACTGTTATAATGTTTATTGGCATCGCTAGTTCTATTCCTTATACTCTTACTATGGCTTTTGCGAATACCGTTGCTACTGCTACTGCTATCACTGCTATCACTAGTGTTATCATTGTTGTTATTATTATTATTCGAGCTATCCGTAATACTAGTACTTTATCTTTCCTTTCTCAAATAATACTTATATCGTATCACTACTGTTGTGATTCCGTACTACGGGTGCGAGTAAGAACGCGATTGCGAATACCATTGCGAGTGCGATTGCTCGTATTGTTGTCGCTACTACTATTCCGACTTTACAACTACTACCACGACATGTTTAGGAACATAGCGAATAGTATTATTATCATTATGTTCTTGTCATTGCTGGTACTATTCCCTCAGCTCCTATTCTTACTATTACTAGTGCTATTACAATCAGCAGCACTTCCACTGTTTCGATTGCTTTTACGCTTACGGTAATACGTAGTTTTATTATTATCGCATTATTTTATTTTCAAGGTTACGATTACTTTTTCCATCGTAGGTATATTGTTACAATTTGTAATACCACTTTCTTGCATGCTACAATTTCAACGATCGCGATGCGTATTGCATGTGCTATTACTCATAAAAGGGGGGGGGGGGGCAGGAGGAGAACGAGGAGGGACGGAGGAGGAATAAGATAGAGAAAACGACGACGGTGACAACTACCACTACTACTACTACTACTACTGCTACTACTACTACTACTACTACTACTACTCTAGTACTACTACTCTTCTTATTCTTGCTACTACGACTACTACGGCGACGAACACGGCTGCGACTGCAACCCAGGCTACGACTACATTGCGTATTACTTGTGTTACGACGACAATGACGACGACTACTACTACTACTACTACTACTACTACTACGACTACTACTACTACTACGACGACGACTACTACTACTATTGCTACCACTACTACCACCACGACTACTACTACTACTACCAATACGACGACGACTACTACTACTACTATTACTACTGCTACTACTACTACTACTACTACTACTACGACTACTACTACTACTACTACTACTACTACTACCACTACCACTACTACTTCTACTACTACTACTACTACTACTACTGCCACCCCTACTACTACTACTACTGCTACTGCTACTACTACTACTACTGCTACTACTACTACTACTACTACTACTACTACTACTACTACTACTACTACTACTACTACCACCATTATTGCTATTTGTGCTTTTCTTACTACACCTTCTGCGACTACTGCTGCTACTTCTACTGCTACCACGGCTACGACTCGGGCTAGGATCACGACTACGGCTACGACTAAGCCTACGGCTGCGATTACGACTACGACTACGGCTCCGAGTACGAGTACGAGTACGACTACGACTACGATTACGACTACGACTACGACTGCGACTACGACTGCGACTACGACTAGCACGGCTATTACTATTTTTTTTGCTACTACTATGACTACTAGTTTTATTACTACTACAGTTACTGGTACTAGTTTTACTATTACTGCGACTTCTGCTGCCATAACAACAGCTACTACTACTACTCTTGTTTTTACTGCTACGACTAGTTCTACCACTTTTTTTTTTGACCACGACTATTACTACTACTACTACTACTACTACTACTACTACTACTACTACTACTACTACTACAACAAGTACTACTACTACTACTGCTACTGCTACCACTACGGTTATTACTCATACGACTACCACTACTATTACTTCTATCACTATTGGTAGAATCATTACTACTCCTACTACTACTACTACCACTACTACTACTACTATTACTACTACTACTACTACTACTACTACTACTACTACTACTACTACTACTACTACTACTACGGCTACGACTACGACAGCGACTATGACGATGACTACTTCTTCTTCCACTACCACTACTACTACACTACTACACTACGGCTACTACGACTACTACGACTACTACGACTACTACTACTACTACTACTGCTGCTACTACTACTACTACTACTACGACTACTACTACTACGACTACGACGGCTACGACGACTACTACTACTACTACTACTACTACTACTACTACTACTACTACTACTACTACTACCTACTACTACTACTACTACTACTACTACTACTACTACTAGTACTACTACTACTACTACTACTACTACTACTACTACTACTAACGCTACCACTACTACTTTCTCTACTACTACTACTACTACTACCACTACTTATTACTACTACTACTACTACTACTACTACTACTACTACTACTACTACTACTACTACTACTACTACCACTACTAGTACTACTACTACTACTGCTACTACTTCTGCTAGTACTTTTCTTTCTACTACTAATAGTAATGCTACTCCTACAATCGTAGTAGTCGTGGTCGTCGCTGTCGTCGTTGTCGTCGTCGCGGCCGATATTCTTTTCCTTGTATTGTAGTGCCGAGATTCTTTTCCTTGTATTTTTGGGCGGGCTGGATCATGTTTGGGCGTTGTTTCTCCCAAGGAGTAATTGTGGGCTGTGCTGCGCGCGCGAGGATGTGTGAGTATCTTCCCATTCGGATTGCAATAGGAATCAGTGGATGTAGTTGTAGTAGTGTTGTAGTCATGGCCATAAGCGTGATTGCAATCGTGATAGTAGTCGTCGTTGTAATCGTCATCGTCGCCGTGGTGGTAGTCGCAATCGTAGTCGTAATCTTAGTCGTAGTCGTAAGCCTTGTCGTCTTCGCTGCGAAAGATATTTTCCCTCTGTTGTTGGGCGGGCTGGGTAATGTTGGGGGGGCTCTTTCTCCCAGTGAATACTTCCCCCTTGGGCTACACTGCGCGACACACGTTTAAAGCACTTTTGTGAGAGGATTGTACTTTAGATCGACACATTCTTCGCCGAAGGCGTTGCTCACAACCTTTCTGAGCATGGAGTTTCTGAGGATGGAGTTTCCCAGGGCCCTCGGGGAGCCTGAGCTTCGACAGTCCTTATGAGGATTGAGCTTCTGAGGCTCGAGCTTCTGAGGCTCGTTTCTGTGCTATGATTTTCCGTGAGAGCGCTCCTCAGGCATAAGTGTTCGTAGTTGTCGCAGTCGTAGTCACAGTCGCAGTCGTAGCTGTCGTCGTCGTCGTTGCGGGGCGGGTGCCGCGAAACAGAAATAGTTACCCCCTGTTGGTTGGGAGGGGAGGGATGGACGGAAGGTTGGATGGGGAGGAGGAGAAGGAGGTGGCGGCACGAGGACGGGTGGAGGGGAGGGGAGGGATGTAGGTGCAGGCACGGGGGGAAGGGACCGGAAGGGGATGGATGGAAGGTCGGACGGAAAAGGAGAGGTGAAGGAGGAACGGGGCGGGCACGGGCGGCGGCGGGAGGGTGGCGAGACGGGTTGGGGGGACGGGGGCGGCAGAGGATACGCAAGGAGCTGGACGGTGGTGGCAGAAACTAGGGGCACCCGCCCCTCCGGTCTCCGCGGCGTTCTTCGACCTGCTGTGGCTCCTGGCTTGAAGTCGCCTGGGTTTGTAGCTGTGTGGGGAGAATGGCGGCAGTGACACTCTTTGCACTAGAGTACAGTAGAGCACAGGGGGTGGTACGGTGGCAGGTGGGGTAAGGAATTATGATGGAGAAGAAAGAGGAAGAGGAGGATGAGGACGATGGGGAGGAGGAAGAGGAGGAGGAGGAGGAGGAGGGGGAGGAAGAGGAGGAGGAGGAGGAGCAGGAGGAGGAGGAGGAGTAGGAGGAGGAGGAGAGGACGAGGAGGAGGAGCAGGAGTAGGAGGAGGAAGGAGAGAAGAGGAGGAGGAGAGGAGGAGGAGGAGGAGGAGGAGGAGGAGGAGGAGGAGGAGGAGGAGGAGGAGGAGGAGGAGGAGGAGGAGGAGGAGGAGGAGGAGGAGGAGGGGGAAGGAGAGGAGGAGGATGAGGAGGAGGAGGAGGAGGACCAGTATCTGGGCCAGGATGATGATGATGGTGATGATGATGATGATGATGATGATGATGATGATGATGATGATGATGATGATGATGATGATGAGGATGATGATGATGCTGATATGATGGTGATGATTACGATGACGAGGATGCTGATGATGCTGCTGCTGCTGATGCTGATGATCACGAGGTGATGATCATGGTTATCATGATGCTGGTGATGGTGCTGATGCTGCTGGTGTTGCTAATGGTGCTGACCACGATAAGGATGGTGATGATTATGTCGTGGAGGAGGTGGAGCAGGAGAGAATGATGATACTGATGGTGTTGATGTTGGTGCCGATAGTGACAGCGATGAGGATGAGGATGCTGCTGCTGATGATGCTGCTGATGATGATGATGATGATGATGATGATGTTGATGAGGATGACGATGATGCGTGTACTGTTAGTGATGGTGATGGTGAGGTCGATTACGATGCCGAACATGAGGATGAGGA